CTCTGCGGCGGGGAGCGCGGCATCCTCTCGGCGCAGAGCCGAGCAGCACACCACCAGCATCACCACCGCCCACGGCTGCCCAGCGTGGAGGAAAAAGTGCCTGTGATCAGACCCAGGAGGAGATCGAGCTGCGTGTCCTTAGGGGAAACTTCGGCCAGCTACTATGGCAGCTGCAAAATGTTTAGGAGACCCTCGTTGCCTTGCATTTCCAGAGAGCAGGTAGGTTTCTCCGAAACTGAAGGGAGAAACTCCGTGAGGAGTGAGCGGCGCTCGCTTTCCCTCACGGCGGTGTGTGTCTGCGCTGGAGCTGTGCTAACTGTCAGGCTCCTGCTAGAGCACTGCAGGAAAACGTTAGTCCCTTAGCGAGTTTCTCAGCTCGGTTCTGCAGACTCGATAGAATCCCTTATGTCTATATAGGCGATAAATCGTAACGATGTGTTTGCTGTAGGACAGAAGGCTCGCTCGCTTTTCACAGGACCTTAAGTATTTAAAAGTAGTTCTTACCGTTTAAAACAAAACCCCAAACTAGACATCTTCGGCTGTCGGCTCCCTTGTTATTTTGATTGTTTCTTTTCCAAAGCCTAACGACTTCTCTGTTTCTGGCGGAGTTTATGAGAGAAAAAACTACAGCTTTTTAGCTGCTCGGGACTTCTGCTTTTTACTGCTTTCTGTCGACAAAATAATTGCCAAGTGCTAGAGAAATACCAGGTTTGGAGGGTTATTATTTGTCAACGTTGTTTGAGTGGCAGCTGTCCCTCTTCCTTGCAGATTACTGCCCCTGGTTTCTCTCTCCTCGCCCTCTCTTCCTCACCCCACGTAAGTTAACATTAGGTTTGGGTTGATGGGATTTAAGAAGCTTCTTTTTACTGAAGAGAGAGCTGTTCAGCAGAGTCTGGAGGGATGCCCGAAACGCTCAGTTTTCTTGAATGGAACTCTGTTGGTTTCTGCCTTCCTGAAAACTTCTCAGTGAGTCTTGTTTCTTGTAGCGCGAACCCCCCTGTGTGTGGAGTTTGTTTGTGTTTGGAACTTGCACGTGAGCTGCTGGAGCATCGAGTTGTGGTGCCGGTGGAACTGCCCCGAGGCTGCTGCGAGTGGGTTATCGGCCCCTTAGAGGGGGGCAGTAAGGGGAGTGTGTTTAATAAACGTACAAGTGAGCAGTTGCTGGGAAGTGCTCGTTGCTGCAGATCCCCCTTCTGCTGCTGCTGTGGCTGAACCTCACGGACACTAAATGAAATGTTTTAACTTTGCTCTGACCTGTGTCCCACGATGCGCTTCTTGTGCTGACTGTGGAACCGGGCCGAGGCAACGGGAGGTGGGTCTGAAACGGTGGAGTCGTTTCTGAGCACTTCTTTCCTTGCGTTCCCACAATAAATACAGCACTATCTGGTTTTGCTTAAAAGGTTAAAACGCAAGTGTGTGTGACAGGCGTCAGAAATAGCTCATTCACTAAGTTTCAAACCATCTGATGCATACTGTGGAAGAAACGTTAGTGTGTTGTACTAGCAGCTGTGTAGGGAATATTGTGTAACAATTTACTTTCTCTGTTCCCTTCTGGGTAGTAAATGCTCTCTTTCTGCCACGTTTGTCTGCAGTACAAAAACCTCAGAAAATGTGGTTTCATTAACCTTTCTAGATGATAGAAGATATTTGTTCTTATGCAAGTTGCTAAATGCTTCCTTTGATACTCGACTCACTTCCTAAAGGCACGCGCATATTTCAAGCTAAGGCATTTATTATTCTTTAAGTAACATCATAAATGTCAAACATAACTAAATACGTAGAATTTATTGACAGTACTTAAACCCTACATGTTCATAATATAATGTAACTGTTTGGTAGACTTTCAGAATTTGATCTTTCTTATCACTAGAAGTGAACAGAGACAAAGAGATCTGAAGTTCTTTGTTTTGCTAATAGTCTATTATGCTTTACAATAAATATCTGTGCACAGTTTAAATCCAATTCATAGATATATGTTCTGTGCAGTATTTTATAAGAAGAACACACACTAAATCCTCTGATCTCCTCTTGGACTTTGGAGAGAGATCTGACAGAGCTGATGAAACCTCAATTGTTTTGGGGAGGAGGAGTGAGCCTATAGTGTGTGACTTTATCAGAATAAACACTACAAGGTTTTTATATTGCTTCCTCGAATCAGGGAATGAATGCACTTCAGGCTTTTCAGAGAGCATTTATTATGTGAATTTTCTTTAAGGACTGATTGCCTGTTTTGCAGATCTTTTAAAAAATCATACAATGACTCTTTTCCAATATTAATATTTTAAGAGTGTGTTTACTGAGCACTGCTGGGAAGATCAGCTGAGTACAAGCAACGTGCTACAGGCCCACCAAGAGGGGGGAACTTTGGTGAATCAGAGCTCGGTTACTATCGTGATTCTATTTGATGTACTTCGTATGATTGTTACAAACCTGTTGTGTGTAGAGGTTTGTATGAACCTCTGCAAACAGGGACACGTGAGAAGAGAAAAGGCAGATGTGTCAAATCTTAGAATACCAGGTTGGGAGGGACCTCAAGGATCATTTGATCCAACCTTTCTTGGCAAAAGCGTGGTCTGGACAAGATGTCCCAGCACCCTGTCCAGCTGAATCTTAAAAGTGCCCAGTGTCAGGGAATCCAGCACTTCCCTGGGCAGATCATTCCAATGCCCAGTTGTTCTCATTGTGAAAAATTTTCTTTTTGTGTGGAATTTAGTTACTTTTAGAGGAAAATAAGGAACGCTAGTAGGGACCTTAAGGTTTCAGTTACGTGTTGCTTGACTCCCTGTCTAGTTAAATACATGAGAAAATAATTGTCTTGAGTTGACTGGTTTTTTTTTCATTAGTAAACTCAAGCCAACAATTCTAAGGGGTCTGCATGTGTGGAGAGTGGACATAGAGAATATTTAGATTATTGCTTTCTATACTTGAACAGGTATGGCAATTATAATGCTGGAAGGTTGATAAAATTGGATTGCCTTTATTCTTACCTTTTATATGACTCTCCATGTTTTAGCCACCAAAGTTTACAAATTGATGTTTATTTGTGGCTTTCTGCAGTACTTGCAGCTGGCTAATTTGAGGTGGGAAGTAAGAGTTTTGAATAGTTTATATCTTTACATTTTTATGCGAATATACTTAAATGCCTTTATCAAAAATATAAATGCACATAGAAGGAAGTGATATGACTGAAATAAGTCAAAAATTATGCAAATACAATGTCTTTTCTGAACTCTGCTATATTAACACTTCTGCTCACAGAAATTCATATGTCTTTAGCAGGCTTTTAGTGTTCTTACTTCAATATTCATCTTGGACCTAGGGAGGAATTGCTTATTAGGAGTATGACTGCAGTATTGATTGGTATTACAAATTTTGTGTAGGTGTTGTTTTGATTGCATATATTAATCGGATGCTAATCTGGCAGCTGTTCCTACTGCTGCTGGTATCAAATGATTTATCTTTGACTGTTGCATCTTTAGCACTTCTTAAGTTTGGGGTTTTTTTTTTGCATGAAAGCCAAATCAAAATCAGCAATCTAAAAGGTGCTTGTTGGTATTGCAAATTTTGAAAACACTCTGTCTTGAAAAATATTGTAGTAAAACTTTTTTTTTTCTTTAGCATGATGGTGAACGTGTATGTGAGAGCAAATAGCTGCACAGAAACTCATACGTGGGAACTTCTCAGAATTCAGAAAGTATCTGTGATTTCTAAAATTCACATTTTTCCTTAAGTAAAGAATAGGCCTTGCTAATTAAATACATAGGGTGTGTGTCCAAAATAGTCTGCAGAAAGAGCTGATACTTTTCCTTGTTATCTGACTAGGTTCAAGCACGTAGGGAGGCTGGGAAGTTGTGGCTAAAGGCTGCTTTCATGTTGTGCCCTGCTAATTACAGGAAGAACTGTCCTGTGGTTAGCCTCTTGGATTGACCCCCAGCTCTCCCCAGGTTCTGCTCCAAGCTCTCTCGCACCTTTGATGCATTACCACAGGAAGATCAGGACTTGATTTCAAAAGCAAAATATTTATGTAAATTGAAATTAATGCAGTTCCTTATTTGCTTACAGTTTATGTCCTTGTCTTTACCTATTCGTGAAACAAATTATACTTTGTCCTTAAGTACCTGAGGTGTAAACTTTCTAGTGCACAAGTTGTGTGTTAATATGTATTTTACAGTGTCTTAAAATTGTTAAATTTGGATATTGTTTGCAGCCCTGAACCATGTGAGCCTTTACCTGTTGATTGCAGACAATAGCTAGAAGATTTAAATTGTATGTTATGTGTTTGGCAAACTAGCTCTTCAAAATGTTAAGTTTTCCCCTAATGATTACAATGACCATTACCACAAGTGTACCTGCTGTTAACAGAATCCTCATATCTCTTGAGATTTCAGTGTTTGTCTTGTAGAAAAAATCAAGGTAGAAATGTGGTTGTGTTGAGCTGTGAATGTAACCAGTTTCAGTGGGATGTGACTGGGCGTGGGGAGTATACAGAGAGAAGGATTACAGGGTGAAAGCAATGGTCTTGGAAAACTGTGCAACCATATTTCAGATGAGTAGGATTGTATTATTTCTGTCTGGTTCTCTCTGACCTTGACAAAATGTCTTGCGCTAGATGAAATGTGAAATGAGAAGCCTCTTGGTAAGAGTTGCATCCTCTTTCTTTTTTCTTCCCCCCTGCTCCTTCCTTTCTTTTTTTTTTTTTTTAATCTGGAAATGATATTCTTGCAGTGTTATACTGCAAAAGAAGAACGATTTGAGGATGGTCAGCCTGTGGAAAACTGTGGAGTGGTCAGAGTTTAAGTTAGTATCTTCTGCAAAGTGGCCACCAGGACAATACAGTGGGTCACAGAGAATGACAAAGAATGCTTTTAGGGAGACTGAACGGAGTAAGAGCTCAGTTAGCAGATGTTACCTTAAGCTCATTTTTAGATATCCAAGACTTGGTGACAGTTTGTATTCTGGACAGCAAAAATACAGTAAAAGCAGGGAACTTGTCTGTAAGTCATCAGCGTAGTGAAGGGGGGTGACTGTCTCTGCAGGTGGGGTTTTCCAGAAAGAAAATGTCTGAGGAGAAAGGAAGGAGATCAGAGACAGCTGCTGTAGAAATGCTGGAGAAATCTGAAGCAAGGGGAGGCTGGTGTATGGGAGAAGTGACCAGAGCACCAGCAGGAGAGGTGGAAGAAGCTGGGAAAGAGGGCTCTAAGAACTGTGAGATTGACTGG